TGATCAACACAAAACGATCGCATGCCAAATTTGAGTGGCATTTTGTTCTTATCTTTTATGAGTTCTCATAAATGTCTTGATCATGAAGATACTGCAGTTCAATTTGGTACAGCGAGTTCCCGTAATCCCACAGTCAGTTTTCAGAAGAATCATATGCACTTATGAATAATTTCAAGCTCAATGTTAAGATTGCTCTAATATAATTACATCAATCATGCCTACCACTGCGGTGGTTAGAACTTTTCAATAGAAAATTTATGAAAAGACTTTTATTTGTAGAAAGTGATAGATCGAGAGGCACCGGCCACTCTTCATTTCTACACCACTACTAAAACAACCTTATTGTGAGTGAAAAAATGATTACTCGAATGATCATGGCACTTCCTCTAATCGTCTTCTCCATTTCTAGATCAACATCTACTAAGCTCCTGATATCATCGAAATTCTCTACGAAACCAGCCGCAGTTTTGCACACTCCTCCAAAGATTGAGGTATTCGTACTGTATAACATCAGATAAAGCGTTATTCAAGTTATTCCAGATATCGGAGGATGGCATGACCGTGGAAGATGTTACGGATTATCCAGAACCGACAATGCCATTTATAGACAAGAACACTCTGCTAAGTTAGTGCGCCTGTTCAACAAACTTTTTTAATCGTTGTTAAATCCAGAGGACAAGTTCGAAAACCCTCGCGATTGGCGTTTGGACGATAGAACAATCAACGATACCGATATGTTCCCCGAAAAGCAAGTAGCCTGCTCCAACGCCACTATCATTGCCGTGAGGGCTAGGATTCTCTCAGAAAACTGAGGAGATCATCCATACACAAATTTTCTTCCAGTCGCAACGGAAATGCACCTGGTCTGGAATAGAACACCTATTAGTAGTATGGTCATTCGCTTCGTTACTAGTTTGGATGGTTATGATAGCTGTATGCTTCTATCGGCAAGCCAATAAGCCGGCTTGGGTCGAGTTCAGGTGATTTCTTCCTTATTGCTGGATCATATCACCTACGAGCATTGAGCTGATGTTGCGTGCAAAGTTGCTTATGTGCCAGCGCTGTTCCAGCGCCGTTCCTCACTACCACCACCGCGTTGTCGCCCATCCGAAACTTTTGAAGTACGCTTCGTTTGATCGACGTTTCGGCAGGGCGTTAGAACGGCTGGAACGACGCTAGCATGGGCTGGCACAAGCAACTTGAAAGCAGTCTAAGTCGCAGAAATTGCTGATCTGAATGTCTGCTGATTGGAGAACTCTATGTTGGAGCGTAGGTTTCGCCGACATCTGCAACAAATACGCAATTTTTCCATGTAGTGCGTTGTGACAGATGTTCGCGCGGGATCTCCCTCTTCCGACGACATATAGTTCCACCGTAATCTGCCCAATCTTCGTATATGCGTTGATGAGTGTGTACATGCAAATGTCATAGCTATACCACACTTCAAGTTGCTTTGTGATATTTGTGCACATTCAATTATAGTAGTGTCTAAAAAGTTGAAAAAGACTTCTTTACAGCGAAAGAACCACATCCACCGTGTCGCCATGGTAGGTTATGTAGAGATGTAGAATTTTGTAGTGACAGCGTAGAATTCGCTATTATTCGCACCCCACCAACTAACCAAACTTTCATTCATTGTCCTAATTCTTTAGAGAGATATGTTAATAATCAAACGATCACTTTTATAGGCTATGTAAATTTT